TTTGCTACAACCACCCATGATATAATTTGTCAAATTGAGTCCGCAAAGAGCGAGTTTTTTTTTTTAAGAAAATTTAATTTAATTGATTAAAAAATAAAGTGGTTAAATTTAAAAATATTTTAATTTTTTTTAAAAAAAGATTAACAGTAATGCCTTATATACTAGAATAAAATATATTATTTAGGTTATATATCAAATACGGTGAACATTTATTCTTATAAGTTATATATAACATTCAATGTAAAAAATATATTATATGATTGTGCTAGATATAAAAAGACCCGATACTATTACCAACGTAGAAAATATAAATTTCATTCAATTTTGTCAAATAAAAGAAGTGTAGAAATTTAAAGTTAAAAATGAAACTATTATTGATGGAAGGAAAAGAAATAAATAAAAGTGAGATATGATATTAAAAAAAAAAAAAAAGGAAAAATTATGAAGTTGCAGTTGGAAGATATTATCGCCATTGGGGACATGGCATGCGTGGAGATAAGTGAGAGTAGGGTGGTGAGTGGGGGTGGGGCCTACTTTATCCAAAACTGCCGCTTTTACCGGCAGCTTCTGAATGGGATGGCGTGCGGGTTTGAGGGGGCAGTGTTTGGGGATTGGCCTTTCATCCCTATCCAAAACCCGCCCCCTGCCTTCATGGGGCCCACTTTCATCCTTTTTTCTTTTTTTCGAATTGGAATGTTCCAAACGCAACTTTCAACCACATTTCTTCATATTTTCTCCTACTGCTTCCTTCCTCTCTCATTTCTCTTAGCTTCAAACCGACATTTCTGTTCCCATTTTCCCTATTCAATTCTATCATCTCTCTTTTCCACCCAAAAAAAAAACTATCATATTCCATATACACATAAGAATAATAATTATAAATTAAATTTTTATTTTTATCTCTCACTCGAATTGATTTGAAAAAGAACGTGATTGAGAATCAATTAAATTAAGTCTAATCATATATAATGTGAATATTATTGCATTTTGAATTTTATATATATATATATATATATATATATATATATATATATATATATATATATATATATATATATATATATATAATTGTTGAAATAATCCTTATATTTTATTTGCCAAATGATAAAAACTAAGACAATTTTACAAAATTGAGGATATATCTTAAAACTTTTGAAAATAAGTGCTCAATATGATTCTTCACATCCTATCCTATCCTATCCTATCCTATCCTATATATAATAAAGCCATATGGTTTTGTGAAAATTAAATGGTGATAATCAACATTTAATTTTCACAAGACCATAATAATATTGTTATTGTGAAAATTAAATGTTGATAATCAACATTTAATTTTCACAAAACCATAACAATATTGTTAATTATAATAACAACAACAACAACAACAACAATAATAATAATAATAACAACAATAATAATAATAATAATAATAATAATAATAATAATAATTGCAATAATAATAATAATGATAATAATTTCCACGGACAGTTTCTAATATATATATATATATATATATATATATATATATATATATATATATATATATATATATATATATATACTTATTTATTTATTTATTATATTTATTTATATTTCAATTTCTACTGGCAAATTATAGTGAAAAACGATGGTCCACATAATTGTATGGATCATGAATATCAAATACATTTTTAATATATTAAAAATACATTATTTTTATATTGAAAGTACCTTACATACATATATAATGTACCCTTGGTATATTTAAAATATATTTTTTATTGCATGCAACCCCAAAGTTCATAAGTTTGAAATTAATATATGGCATAGCTAGGCGGCCTAATATTTAAGATTGTTGATGTGCATATTAAGGACTACGGAGACAAAAATGTGTTATTCGTGGATTCATCGGATACTATCCAACAACACTCTCCAACTTAATTGACGTGAAGTGGCTTAATAATATTAAGATTATATTCCCGAATTATTAGTTCTCATCTTTTATTGATTACACACTTAATTCGATAGTATTTGGAAGAAAAAATCAATGTTCGAACTAAGATTGTGATTTTGGTCTTTAAAGGTCAATTGTATGTTGCTACATCTAGAGTTAGAAATCTCAAAGGTCTAAAAATTTTGATCCGTGGTGACTCTAAAATTGTAATTCAATTACTATTGTAGTTTACTAAGTTCTTAAAAATTTGTAATATTAAATACTATGTACTAAATTTTTAATATAGTTTAAGATTTGTAGTAATCACCCACCTTAAATATTATTTTAATTGTAAATATATTTATGTTCATAATTTTATCATAGGAATTCACACATAATAATTATTGAATAACAAAAATTATATATATGAATAAACCTCATATAGGGTATATTTTTATAACATATTTTCCGTGCATCGCACATGACAAATACTAGTATATTTAATGGACCAAAATGTTTTGTTTTTCCTTCTTCTTTTTTTTTTTTTTTTTTTTTTTTTTTTTTTGAAGAGAAAAGTTTAATTTATTAAATCATCAAGAAGAAAGTCCACAACGAAACTAGGGATATCAAATCACTCTCCGCAATCTGACATAGAAACGACCTCCCGAACAATAATATAGGCAACATAAGATAATTATACGGGTAGTTAAATTCCATCCCTCAAATTGCAATCAAATTTGGTTTATGTTCATGGAAATATATGTTGACATCTTCGTGAAAAGTCTTCTATCCACAAAATTAAAACATAAAAATAACCACTTTCTTTTTGAATGTAAAAATAACCACTTGATATGGCTAAAAACTTGAAAACCTTTAACCTTTACAAACTAAATGTTTGAATTTATCTAAAATTAGATTTGCATTACCAAAAATAACAAGTGTACTCTCAAATAGCAAAATTCAAGTAAGATGTCATGAAAACTCTCTTTTTTTAAGATGAATTAGAATTAGAAAACAAAAATAGGAAGTATAGATTTGATCTTGTTGTGAGCACTAGTGTATAAGCTAAGTGTTTAGAGACATGTCAGCCAGTCGAGACACATCCTGTGGTTTGTCTCATTCATCATATATATATATATATATATATATATATATATATTCAAGGTTCGAAACTCGACAGCTGCAGTATGAGAATTATGTCTAAAGTGAACAGATCCCTTGAACGTATCAATATATGATTTTGTCTGCTGAATTATTGCGTCACTGTGATTTATATCCTTCAAAATGCTCTGTCGGGTCGCGTTGTTAATTCAACATTTTTTAAGAAAGATAAATATTCCTTGTTGATTGATGTAGTTGGGAAATTAAAGGAACAAAAGGTTAGTGCAACACTCCCATGTGATTGGTGAGCGGTTCTTCATCTCCCAAATGTTGCTTGGTTGTCTCACGCCTCTTCTTTGCCCACTGCCGATTTTGTTGACTTGTTTTTGTCCATCAATTAGGAGCCTTCTCCTACTTGTATACTTACTATCATACCATATTCTTCCCATCTTGATAATGACAACAATTAGAGCAACCTTAGCCCATTTCGTTAAATAGATGAATAATTTATGTTGATTTTTCTCCTTTTGATCTTTTGGCAAAATCATAAGGCAAACTTCGCCTATAATGCATATTAAGGTAAGAGTTGCCGAATTTCTTATAAATATAAAAGATAATGGCAATAAATTTTAATTAATTCAAAATTAAGATACTACTGAAGCTGGTCTAGTATGAACAACTTAAGTTGGTTTATCTCTTTTTTTTTATTGGTTCAAAAAAGATTGGTTTACTTCATTATGGTCTTTTGTTGGCTATTTAAAAATTAATCGACCCCACTACAAATTAATTATATAAAGTAGTGTCAAATAGTAAAGTATTTTTTTTTTTTAAATAAATATAATCCATGTATCATTTTGTCTTAAATAATATTGACTAGAAAGACTAATTAAGAGATAAAATGGTAATAGATGCATGGTAACAAATATTACGGAGTACTTTATTACTATGGAGAATCAATTATACTAGTAAAAAACTTGTCTTACAATTTAAGAGATCTTTCAAGTTTCAACTTTCAAGCAATAGAAATGGGCTTATGTAAGTGTTATGGGCTTCTATGGTATACTATCTATTGTGTAAAACCCATTTAGTGAGAGGCCCATATCTCATATTATTACCATGGAATATATTTTTTTCTATTTAAAGGAAAATGAAATTTAGTCAAGCCTTAGCAGTTGAATATGATGAGTGGAGGGGTAGAAAACCAAACATTATCGTTAGACATGGAACATGCTTCCCTAGTTAAAGTATGTATATGTATTACATGAGTCATATATTTGATAGAATAATTACCTTTTACGGTATGTTATGTCTTTGCCATTTTGCTTGATTTGTTTTAAAAAAATGTATCTCGTTTTTGTTACTTTTAGGTATCAAAAATATAAAATGTAGAGTAGCAAGAAAGGTATTACTTTGCTAATAAAAAGTGTTGAAAAGATGAAAAAGTACATACACTAAACCATTTGAATAAAGCATATGCATATGTGGTCCAATCCCATATACAATTATTATTATTTTTTTAATTTACTTTAAGCCATATTCCACATCGTAGAGAAAAGGGACATTGGAAGAAAATATAGGAAAATATGACTTGAATTTCCAAATTTTACACTATACTTTTATTCTTTCACTCAAAATTTTAATGTTGTTATTGTCATTAATACTCACATGATAAAGATAACAATTGCCCGAATAGCTCAATTGGTCATTTTGGTGAAGTTTGGGAACAATAACTCCCGAGATTGAATTTCACGGGCAGCAGTGTGGAAACAACCTCGAGTAAACAAATGTCTAGTTTTCAGTGGGAGTAAACAAATGTCTAGTTTTCAGTTGAATTATCATGATTTACATAATCTTAGATGCTCTGTCGGGAACAAGGATATAGATGACATCATGACAATACAAATGTCAATTGAAATGTCATATTTGAATGTATTCTCCCACTACCATAGAAATTTCAATAGATGTGTGTGTCTACGTGTAGAGAAAGGGGTGCATGTATATATTGGCATTTATACAAATACATTATATAAGCAAGTGTATATATAATATATACATTTCTAGGATTTGGAGATAACTTTGGTGAAGGGGATGGAAATCATATCCCTATTCACCAAACCTTAAGAAAATTTAGATTATCTCAAACAATCTTTCTCTTGTCTTCAATTTCCAATAGTTTAATCTATCCCGGCCTATTCATTTTTCTGCCGGTTGAAATTCCGTTTCATTTTCCGGCCGGTTGAAATTCCGTTAAAATATGAATCAAAAGGAAGCCGAGGTTAAAGAAGATGGGGAAAGTTCTCTCGCGACGTCGCCTCCGGTCACGACGGCGCTGCCAATTTACGATCCTAACATGACCACCTTTTGGCCGCCGTCACCGCCGCCGCCGCAGCCACCGTATTATTACCCGCCAATGCCGATGGCTCCACCGCCGGGCCCGTACTATTTCCCGCCATTCCCGCCGCCGTTTTACAACCAGCCGGCGATGGGAATGGGTGGCTACGATCCGTACAATGCTGACCGTTCACTAACGCCGTTAACGAATGCCTGGTCCACACAACTTTGTGATTGTTTCTCCGACATCAAAATTAGTGAGTTTTTCCTTCATTAATTAATAGGAAAAATAGTCATTTTCGTTTATATATTTATACAAAAATAGGAATTTCAATTTCGGATAAATATTATATATCTTCTAAATTTTCACAAAGTTTGTCACATTTGCATTACATTGTTAGTTAATATATATGGATAAAATTGTAATTTATAATTTTAAACAACTAAAGATACTGTTAAGCGGTTAAAGAATAAAATTCTCAAAACTGCCGCATTGCAAAATATTAAAATGTTAATAATGTTTTCATCAATAATTGAAGAATTAAAATTACTATTTTCCATAAACACATGGATGAAAAACATTATTTTTATATTACTTGAATTCGCACAAAAATAAAAATGCTAGAATTAAATAACGTGTTTTATCTCGACTAAAAATCTAAATTAACAGTTAAAATACACATTTATGTTTTAAATGTTAATGTTTTACAAGTTATTATACGTTGCAGGCTTCATAACAATTTTCCTGCCATGTGTGACGTTCGGCAGAATTGCTGAGTTTATAAACGAAGGACATACAAGTAAGTCTTATAATTTGGCAGGCCCTGTCATAGCCCACGGGTCTAACTGACAGGCCTTACGTGGCTATCTCACTTTGATTGCTCTATAAGTGATGATGAAATAATGTTGGTTTTTCTTTGACATTTTCATGCATGGCAGCATGGTGGGAACATGCACTGATGTTTGCGTTTTGTCACGTTCTAACGTTGTCCCAAGGATCCTCTATCTACTCATGCTATTATCGGACTAAAATGAGGAACAAGTATGCATTGAATGGCAACATCTTCATGGATTTTCTCTTACATTTATTCTGCATGAGACTGTCGCTCTGCCAGCAGTATCGTCAGCTTGATCGCATGGGATTCGACGTTGGCTTAGGTAAATATATGTATGTATGTGTTAATGATGATTGTTGGATTCTGCTTTGGAAAAATCAAACTTTTAAATTCTTAATTGTTACCCGTTATGCAACGTAAGATTTTATTTTTTTTTCAATTTTTTGAAACGTAAGATTCTTAATCGTTACCCATTATGCATCATATATCATATAATTAACAACCATTAAGAGATTAAAAATAGAGTTTTTCCTTTTCCTAATTTAGTTGATTTGTTTATCAAGGATGGCATGGATATATGGAGAAACAGAGAATAAATGCAACGGAAGCTGCAATTCAGTTTATGCCCCCAAGGATGGATTATGGGATGTATAGATAAGAAGAAAAATACTTAGAAATATTTAAATGGGATTAATTTTCTTTAATGTAATGTTTTGGTAATTAGTCAATCAAATCGTTAAGTCAACCAAGCATCTTGTGCTCAGATGGCATCCGGGTTGGACTCTCATATGGGAGGTTGTGAGTTCGAGTTTTAGTGGAGGTATTATTGGCTCTTTGTGCTTCAGTAGGTTGTAATAATTCCAAAAAATAAAAATTGTCAAGTCAAATTAATTAAAATAAAAAAATGTGAATTATTGACCCTCTAAAATTACCTTACAAGTTAATTAATTTGTAGTTTAAACTTTTTCTTGACATTGAGCAACTCTTTGGTCGTGAGAGAACCTTTCAAGATTAAATACCTAGAACTAATGTAAAAAGTATCAGTAACAAAAATATCTAATATTTTTATCTTTTTTGAAAAAAAAAAATGGTAGTTAAAGTGTTAAAAATTTCCTAAATTATTATATATAAAAAATGTAAAAGTTCGATTATGTTACTTGAATTTGAATTTGACTCGAGTGGGGCAAATTATGCTGTGCATCCGTGTGCACCATGCATGGTGCACACGGATGCAAAAACGACGTTGTTTTGACTAAAAACGCGCATCCAACTTATAAAAATAAATTTTAGTTTCGATTCCCGTCAACAACATTATGTTGTGCATAATTTCTGAATGTATAGTTATGAAATTATGGATGTATAGTTATGCAATTCTGGATTTATAGTTATGAAATTATGGATGTGTAGTTATGCAATTCTGAATGTATAGTTATGAAGTTATGCAATTCTGTATTTATAATTATGAAGTTATGGATGTGTAATTATGCAATTCTAGATGTATAATTATGCAATTCTGGATGTATAATTATGTAATTCTGAATGTGTAGTTATGAAATTATTGATGTGTAATTATACAATTCAGAATTTATTTTTTTTTAAGTCGACATCAAAACGACGTCATTTTTACATCCGTGTGCACCAATACACAGCATAACGACTCCTCGAGTGGTTACCCGAATATGGGTTCTCAATAGTAACTAAATTCAACTTAATCCTTTAGCAAATTCAGCAACGTTGGGGGCAATGACCACTTAAGAAGATGAAGGTCCAGTATGGCAGTATGAACCACTAGCTGTGGCCCATTATAGTGGGCTATAGATACATTACTAGGTAGTTTGACCAAACTATTTGATTAGGCAAATTATGCCCTGGACCCGTGTCCACAGTGAATTGTGGACACGGGCCCAAAACGACGTCGTTTTTCAAAAAAAAATGCGTCATTTAGTTATAGAAAAAAAAATTCGCGCGCGTTTTGCCGTTAACGGCGTTAACAGCGTTATTTTTTTTTGGATTATGAATGTACAGTTATGCCATTATGAATGTACAGTTATGTCGTTATGAATGTACAGTTATGCAATTATGAAATTATGAACACAGAGCTCTAACATTATGAACTTACAATTATGAACATATATAGTGATAAAATTATGACCATGGAGCTTTAAAATTGTGAATATAGAGCTTCGAAGATTATGAATGTACAGTTATGGAGTTATGAATCTACAGTTATGGAGTTATGAATCTACAGTTATGAGATTATGAATCTACAGTTATGGAATTATGAATGTACAGTTATTGATCGAATTATGAACAAAGAGCTCTAACATTATGAACTTACAATTATGAACATATAGTGATAAAATTATGAACATAGAGCTCTAAAATTGTGAACATAGAGCTTCAAAAATTATGAATGTACAATTATAGAGTTATGAATGTACAGTTATGGAGTTATGAATGTACAGTTATAGAGTTATGAACGTACAGTTATGGAGTTATGAACGTACAGTTATGGAGTTATGAATGTACAGTTATTAATAATATAGTAATAAAATTATGAACATATATTCCTATAACGAAGCGGTCTGAAATTAAAAAAAAAAAAAAAAAAAAAAAAAAAAAAGATAACAGTGCCTAACGGCACTGTTACCCGTGTCCAGCAAGCATGCTGGACACGGGTCCAACGCATAACGATTGATTTGATTAGGCAAAATTACTATTCAAAGCCACATCGCTAAATATTATGAGTTAAAATAATGTACTTTATAACTTAAAATAATGTACTTTATGTGTTAAAATAATGTAGTTTGTGTTAAAATTTAGAATAATGTACATTATGCTTTAGAATAATGTACATTATAAGTTATAAAAATGTATGTTGCAGCGGGTCCTATGATTTTTTTTTTTGGGAGCAAAACGGTATCGTTTTTAGGCCGTGGTCCATTGTCCACGTAATAACACTTGATTTTATTAATGGAATGTTTTATAAGTATATTTTAAATTTATTCTTTACTATAGATACATTTTATACTATCAAATTAAAGGAAGAAAAGAAAAACGAGAGCAACTCCAACTAAGTTAGTCAGATTGTTGATTTAGTAATCTTATATTTACAGATTTGACTCAACCTAGGTTAGTTTACTTCATCGTGCTATTGCTGGCTAGGATCATACAAGGTGATGTTTACCCATTACACACCATCGAGTAAAAACATTAAAACTTAGTTATAGCACATAATTTGTTTAAAAGCTAAAATCCATTGCATAAGTAAAAAGCAATTATTATATCGAGGACCATGATTCACATTGAAAGATTGACCACTAACATATATATTCATTTTTTAGTATATTGAAGGTTCATTTTTAACGTACTACAAGCTCATTTTTTTGTGAATTTTAAATTCATTTTTATTTATCATAATACCTTGAAATAAACATTAATTAAGTACATATAAATGAACATTTACTAGTAATTTACCTTACAATGTGGACCATAGTTTACAATATAATTTACCGGTAAAAAGAGAAAAGACAAAAAAAATTATTGAACAAAAAAAAAAGGAGACATTTGGTATCCTCACAATTGTCAGACTAATCTGGATAAGACCAGGTCACACTCAATTTGGTTCTCCTTACAGTAATATTAGTTGTATGTTTGTTTTTTTTTTTTGTTTTTTTTTTTTTGTTTTGTTTTGTTTTTTTTTTTTGTTTTTTTTGTTTTTTTTTTTTTTTTTGTACCTAGGGTATCCATCGTGGGACAAAGTGACTAATCACTTTGCTGAATTGTAGATACTTTTTTTTTGGGTGGAACAACTGGTCTGGAGATTTAAGGTTGCTCCACACCCAAATTCAATGATCGATCGAACCCTTGACCTTTGATTTAAAGATGGATGAGTCCCTTTCACTCAACCACACTACAGGTTAGTTGTATGTTTATTAACATTCCTAAACTATTGAGTTCAAAGTCCTTTAAAAAAAAAAATAATAATAATAAAAATTGTATATCATTTACACAAACATCTATAGGTAGTTTTTTTTTTTTTTTAAAGTTCGCTTTTGTAAAGTTATAATCCAATCTAACATGTTAATCTTATAAGCTAACTTAATTTATTTTTTGTTTTTTTTTTTAACTAACTTATTGTCACGTATTTATATTTTCACATGACATAATTTATCTTACATATAATCGAGACTTTGAATTTTAAAGTCAAAAGTAGTTATAAATATCACATGGCAAGGGGTGAGGAGATTCGATAATCTTGTCAGAATGCAATAGGGAAAGGAGTCAATTATGCATATCACCTTGCAAGTAGAGAATATTGGACAGACTATCACAAATATGTGTCATGTACTTTCTGTTTAGTGTCAATAAAGCCACGTGCATTAAAATTATGAAACTAATACAGAGTAGTTTTTAGTTAGTTAAAACATTATATTATTATTTGTGAATTAACACATTAAAATGAGGTTTATCTCGTGTACACTTTAAGATAGTAGCTAATCAAAATAGAGTGTGAGACACATACATTGATACATGTAGACATGTAGTATTATTTGGTCCCAGTACACCTAATGACCAATTGTTATATCATAGATTATGGTCCACCATAACCAATTATTACCTTGTATTATGGATATTGGTCTAAAAGTTATGTATCTGCAGTTAGTATATTATTATGTGTCTTTAGTTAATAAACACTTTATTTCTGATTAGTATTACATTTGTCATTATAAATATATATTACAGTGTTATTTGACCGACCAATCTCACGGATAAGGATTCATGAGACTGTCTCACATAATATGTTAACTACATGCATAATGTGTCTGCACTTAACATATTATGTGTTTGTAGTTAACATATATATTATGTGCTTTCAATTTATTTACCGACACATGATTTATTAACTGAAGACACATAATGACATGTTTGGTATATAGGAATTGCAATGTCTATGGAGGAGTCATGAGGAACGAGATAGCTGATTTCCTGGGGGCTTTCTTTCAAAAAAAAAAAATAAAAAATAAAAATTCCAAGCAGGAATAAGCATTGTTTAGCATGTGAATTGTGATGATGTGAAATTTAATAGGGTAGCATCAACTTGCTTTATATATATATATAAATTTATTTTTATTTAATTATCGAAATGATCCTTTGACTATAACAAAATTATCAATTTGGTCATTGACTATTTTTTTGACCAATTAAGTCCCTCAACTTTAAAAATCTTAACCAATTTAGTCTTCCGTTTGTTTTACCGTTAAACATCCGTTAACTTGGGACCAAATTGGTAATTTCGATATAGTCAAGGGACCATTTCAGTAATTAATTTTAGGAGTGGGCAATTCAGTTCAGTTTTCCCATACCGAACCGAACTGAACTAATTCGGTTTGGTAATATACCGAACGGTTTGGTAAAAAAATGAGCTCTACTATTCAGTTTCATTATACAAACATTAAAATATCATTTTAATTATAATTATACTACCACAAGTTCATTTGATAATATATACATAGTTGTATGAGCTCTAATATTCAATTTCATTTTATAAACACAATATGTTTACTACAACAACACTAAAATGTCATTTTAATCATACGACATATTATTTGACAATATACATATTTGTGGTGTATTATCATGGTCCACATAGTTGTATGGACCATGAGGAATTTGTGCATATGTAACTAAGAGAGAGAACATGAGATTGAGAAGGGAAAGAAAGGAAAAAAAATGAGAATGAAATAATGCCCCTAGAAGGCGCGTGGGGTCCACGCACTCAGTTTGGCGCTCTTGATGCGCATAACGTACACC